GCTCCTGTATTGGGGCAGGGAGGGAGAGAACACGGGCTGAGTGGTTTGTGGCCTTTTTTTTGTAGTTTGGTTTCAAAAACAGATCTCACTAGAGGTGCGGGTGTCTCTGCTGTTGGCGGCACTCGGAGCAGCCCGGCGCTCTGTTCTCGTATTGATAAACCCTCGGGCTGGTGGTAGGGAGCTAAGACCCACCTCCTAATCTTTCCCAGGTCATGATCTTTCCTTTTCTTGTAGGTGTTTTTGTTGATGCTGTCAATTCCATGGGCCAGACTTCTCTCTTCACTGCCGCGTTGCTGGGCTTTGGTAAAATAGTGGATGTTCTGTTGGATTATGGCTCCCCCCAATCAGTTAAGTACAAAATTGGTTTTTTTATTAAATTGAAGTCAGTGTGTGGTCTTTTAGTGGTTTATAGTCAATGTAATACACTACATTCACTGTTTATAAAGGAAGAAGTGCTTAAGATGCATATTGCTGCTTTTGCCAAAGATGCTCAGAGCTAAGTAGGTGCCTGATTTCCTTATTTCATGGTGTGTGTTGTTTTTTGGGGAGTACACAAGCATTCTAGGTATGCTGCTTTTTCCTCCGGAGACACAACTCTTTGAGTGTAGTAGGGGTCAGCTGAAACATTTCTGCTTTAATGTTCCTCAGTCGCTGTTACGATGGAAGCACCCCAGTCCACGCAGCCGTGTTCTCGGGAAGTCAGTGGATCCTCAGCAAGTTACTGGACGAAGGAGGCGATCTGAGAGTTCATGATGAAGATGGAAAAACTCCTCAGTGCTGGGCTATGTCAGCGGAGAAAGAAAGCAGTGCTCAGGTACGTGAGTGTAATGCCTGCTAGATACGTGCTGCATCCTCATCTTAGAGTGTGGAAACTCCAGCATTCTGGGGAGAAATTCTCAACTTTTGCATGGTAGATAATTATTTAGCATTATTTTTCTAGTCCTTTTTGAAGTCCTCATGATGTAAATTTTTTAACTTGAGGTGTTGCTCAGGTGCAGAGGCGTGTTTGTCACTTGCTGGGGCCTTTCTGCATAAGTGTGCGGTGAGAGGATGACAAACCTTTGATGTCCATTCCTAATGCACGTAGTTTATTTGCATCTATATGCAATTCAGGAGTAAACCTGAAGTAGTTTTCAAGCGTGTCTCAGTCTGTGCTAGCGTGGTAGCAAAATGCAATATCAAAAAATCTTGTTCATGACTCTGGTGTTGATTTAAAACTCATAATACTCGTCTTTCCTGTTATCACAGTGCTTCTCTCACAGAGAAACCAGATATTACAATTTTCTGTAGCTGGATGTCTTGCAAGTTAGTCACCTAGTGTTTGAAGCAAGCTTTCTCTTACCTTTTCCTGTAATTGATTTTCTTCAAGTTTTTCTGTGTATCCATGTCTTGAAATGGCTGTTCAAATATTGCAAGTACCTAGTTATTATTTCAGTAGTCACAATCTGTTAATTTAAAATGATTTATCCTGCAGTTCTGAAGTAATTTATTTGTTGGGGTTTTTTTCCTTCCTTGTCCTCTCTAGATGCTGGAGTTTATTCAGCGCTGCACGTTCCACATGCAGGCTGCCATTCAGAATTTTCCCTCTGATCTGCTCAGGAAGGTTGACTCATCACAAGCGCTGGTCTGCAGCCCGTCTAAGTTTGGTGGCCTTGTTCAGGGGTGAGAATATATTCTCAAATACTGAGGGATTGAGCTACAAGGATTTTTACTTCCATAGTCTGTTGCCTTAAAATTAATATGTTTTGGACAAGGGCAGATTTAAAACCAGTTTGTGTTAGGAATGATAATTGTGAGAGTTCCAAATAGAAACTTGGTAGTTGTAAATATCTGTATATTAAGAGAAACTCTTGAAATGAACAGCAGGAAGTCCTGGATTTTGCTAGTGTTAAAGTGGCAATAACATAAAGCAGTTTGTTTCTTGACCTTTTGTGGTCACTGCAGGCCCTTTAGGGATGTGTTTCCAATCATTTCAAGGGCTTTTATGACAGATATATGCTGGGAAGAATACATATTTGTGAACTAAATGCGGTTCAAGATGCCCGTATATTTTACTTTTTTTAATTGGATATCTTGCTTTAAGCAAATACATATCATAATGGCATATCTAAAAGGTTTTAATGAGGTGCATAATAATTTGGAATTTCGGCATCCACAATACACTTACTCTTATTGTTTATGTTTTCTATACTTAGAAATGTTGACAGTCCTCTGGGTAAACTTCTAAAAGGCGGAACTAAGGCAGCCAAGAATATTTACAGCTTTGGTTTTGGGAAGGTAAGATGCTACATGTAATGATTTTCTAACGATATTAGTATAATTTTTCAGTCACATATTCTTCACAGTATTTATGCCTCCTGTGTTACTTTAAATTTTTAGTGCCTTCTTATTTCTACTGAAATTATGGGAAAAAAAAAACTGTGAAGAGCACAAATATTCAGGCCTTCAGTTGCTGGTAGGCCCTGTCAGAGGGAGCTGTTTTGAAGCAGGCAATACCTGTTAAATGTCACCTGGGGGAGTTCCGAATGGCTGGTTTTGCTTTCCTTGTTTTTGACGCAAATCTTAACATTTCATCATGATACTCCCCTTGCAGTGATTGCACTCAAAGTTTTAGTGAGTTTGTGACAGATCTTGGGAACTGTTGTGTATTCCTTTTGGTTATGTCCTGGTGGTGTTTCAGTTTTGTCTTGCAGGCAGCGGGCACCTGGGGTACTTGGCATCTCTCCCTATTATTGGGGAAAAAGATGTGGTTCAGGCAGATGATGAACCAGCATTTTCTTACCATGTTGGACCGTACATGATCATGACAAAGTAAGTGGAATCAAGGGGATTTTAGCCCTTTCTTGGTGTTTTTCTGTTACTATTGAGCAACAAGTTGTTGTACCAGATAATTTGCATGGTTTTCCTTGTCTATTCTATATTCATCCACTGCCTTCTGCTTGCAGCTTGTTTTCTGTAGCCCACCTTCCTTAGATTCCCTTGATACCTTTATGTTGCTCTTGTCCTTTCCAGCAATATTAACTGAATGATTGTTGATAGCAATGTTTCAGTCTTCAACAGGGAGAGAATTTATTGGCAATGGGAAAGCATGTCTGCTATAACCAGAGTCGTCAAAGTAATGTCACTTACGGTAGGAAACAGCACCAGAGCATTTCAGAATTACAAAAGTATTTGTAAGTAATCTTGTAACTGGAAAAAAATCCTGCAGAAAGCATCTTGTAGAAATTGCTCTTCTTCTCCTTGTAGCTTAATGTGGGAAGGCAGCAGAGTCACAGTGAAGGAACTCAGCTTTGAGCCCCGTCAGAACTGTAGTAAACTCCGCTTGGCCGATCTCCTCATTGCGGAGCAGGAACACAGTAGGTAAGAAAGAACATGCAGCTCCCCCAAGTGCTCCTGGGTGCCTCCAGTGATGTGAGGAGACCTGATTAACCACGGGAGGTCTGTTGGGCTGTGGTTGCACTTTGTCTCCAAATGAGAAATACAGATCTCTCTCCTCTCCTGTCTCTTCCCACTCCCTTTGCCTCCCCAGAGGGTGAGACAGAGAAGGTGATGCTCTCTCCTCGCATGTCTGGGTGAATGCTTCATTGAGCATTTCTTGAATGACTTATTTATAGATTTGCCTAGCTGTGACAGGAAGCATTGTACGCTGTTTCCTAAATGCCTCCTGATCTACAGTTCTTTTAAAATGTGGGGTATTTTAATGAAAAGTTAGAAGCATTCACGTTGTATTGATAAAAATACCTAGAAGACCAGGACTCTCTTCATCTCAGATTTGCCTTAAATACTTTTTTTCTCCTCTCATTTTACAGTAAACTCCATCATCCCCATCTGCTCCAGCTGATGTCTGTTTGTCTGTCTGGTGACTTGGAGAAAACCCGCTTAGTGTATGAGAGGGTTAACTTTGGTTCTCTGTACAGCATCCTTCATGAGAGGGTAATTCAGTTACTTGTTTTTTGAATAGCAATTAACTGAGAGGAGGAAGTTTGCTAACCACATCTACCATCTTTACTCGAAGAACAAGACAACAAAGTCACCAGTTTGTGTATCTGTGTTTCTGTTTCACTGCACAACATCAGGTACTCTGCGTAAGCTGGTCACATTTGTAATCGGCAAGTACTTGAGTTAGTGCTTAGGTGCAGTTGTAGTGATTTTTTTGTTTGGTGTCACTCTTAAAATAGCTGCTGTTAAATTCAATTGAATTTTTAATCTGCATGTGGATGTATACTGCAAATGTGGCAAAACCAGCTCTTGCCCTTGGATGTGTGCATGTAGCACATTGCAGGATGCCTGGGTGTCAAAGTGAAGGCTTGAACTCAGTTGTGGCATGTTTTGTTGTTTCTTTTAATCAACCAATCTTTATTTTTCTCTTCCTTTTTTTGCAGTTTGGGTCATTATTTTATTTCTTTAACTGTTTGAATACAGGCCCCTAAGCAGAAATTGCAGCCAAAAGCAGGAAATCCTAAGAATCCATTCTACTTCAGAGTGAATTTTGATGTAGTCAGTATCTTTTTTTTTGTAGTTACTTTTTAAGGTATAGTTGGTTTGGTATTGAGAATGAACATTATTTAGCAAGTGCAATTCATCTGACTTTTACTACAGTACGTTTCATGTTTGCTTTCTTTACCTTCTTCTGTACAGTAATAGTTTTTCAAAAAAAACAGACTTTAAAGACCTGCAATGTAAATTTGGTATTTGTGGGGTTTTTTCCAGCGTGCAGAATTCCCAGTACTGCACATGGAGACGATTTTGCACGTGCTGCTTCAAATTAACGACGCGTTGCGTTTTCTACACTGCCGTGGGTTCGTCCACCGTTCTGTTACCTCCTATGCTATTCAGATTGTTTCTTCTGGTGAGGCGAAGCTGTGCAACTTGGAATACATGATAGAGAGGTAAAGAACTTCCTCACTGTTTCTGTCACAGGGACAAACACAAGTAAAAACAAATTTAGTGCTAAATTCTCCTGAAATGCCCTCCTTGATGACTGGAGACTCCTGCTGCTGAGTCAGGCAGCAGAGTTACAGGAGGAGAGAACTCCAAATTATTGCTGCTCAGGTACATTAACTTTGACACAGGCAAGTTTCAGGTGTATTTAGTTGCTATGAGTATCTGAAAATAGAAACTAGTAAGAAAAGCAGCTTTTTTGGAGTATAAAAATACCATTGTAGAGAAATAGAACCCAAAGTTACAGAACTGAGATGAGATTTGTATTACTTCTGCCAGAAAAACTTTGTTGTATCATGCCCAAATGCGTTTACTGGTGTGAAAATACTGCATGTATTTATTTTCAGGTGTATTTGACCTTTTAGGTATTTAAACTAAAAGCAGATAAAACAAACTCAAGGTTTTAATTCCAAAAGAGATTCCTTCTAGCTGAGCGTGTTGTGTGCCCCAAGTTATGACTTTTTTTCCCTTTATCCAGCAAAGACGGCGGAGAACACAGCGATCTGACGCGTATTCCTGTCCCAGTCCAGCTGTATAAGTGGTGCTCTCCTGAAGTAATCCTTGAAAAAGCTGTCACGGTCAAATCGGACGTTTATAGCTTCTGCACAGTAATGCAGGAGGCCTTGACAGGTATTTCTGTAGGTTTAGGCGTGCCACGAATGGTTTCTGTGCCGACTGTCAGCCCCTGGGTGACTGGATAAAAGCTTGTTGCGATGGCTTGTACATAGTGAGCCTGGAAAAGGAGCCATCCAGAAAAAAAACTCCAAATATTAATGACAGCAGCGAAGACTGCTGCAGGCTTTTGTAAAATGTCCTCAGAAAAACTGGACTGAGTGTCGTTTGATTTGTGACAATAGTTGTAAATTAGGGAATGTGCAGACAACAATGCTTCAGTATCGCTGATTCTTTTTTTTTTCCTATTTATTTTTATTAACATTGATAAACTGCTTGTGACATAAAGTCTGTATTTATATTTTGCAGAGACCCCTCCCTGGAAAGGTTTTGAAGACTCAGTTATTAAACAGCTCATAACATCAGGACAAAGGTTAGAAGCAGATGTCAGACTTCCAATGCCCTATTACGATATTGTAAAGTCAGGGCTAGAACCAAAACAGAAGAACCGCTCCCTGAACCTTCAGGATATTCAGTATATACTGAAAAATGACTTAAAGGTGATTTCCAGGATTGTAGCCTTTCACGTATTTAAACCAGCAGGGTTTTGTGTCCATTCAGAATAAAGTTGTTCTGCTTAAATCTAGGTGGGAGTATCTTTTTCTCATCCTGGACGCAAACCACCTTAAAAGAGAACGTAAGGACACTGAACTGTCGAATATAGTTGTCTTTTATTCCTTTTTTTTTTTTTTATATTACAGGACTTAACTAAGTCTCAAACTGGTCATGTTGATGAAATGTCAAAAGCACAGAGACGCGCTGTTTTTCCAGATGTGAACATCTGTTTGGCATCAGCTTTTAGCTACCAGAAGAGAGTGCAGGAACTGCAGGGAAACGAGCTAAGGGAGGCTGGTGAGTTTCTTCTAGCAAGATGTCATGTGTCCATCACTTAGAGTAAAAAAAGGGGTGATATAAATAATTAAAACACGAGTGCTTACAGATTTTGTGAAATAGTTTGGGAAGCTTTGGATTCTAGCTACCACCATAAGCATTAATGTAAAATCAAGATTATACCCCTGGTTAATATTTGAAGTTCCTGCACGCTCTTTGCAGCAGAGGTGTTAAATGCTGATATTAACTGTTAAGTGCGTGAAAGCAGTGTGTTTGATGCACATCTGGTGAAACAGCCTAACACTTAAAATAAATCTTTTTCAGCAAGTGCTACTGCCCCAAGATCCTGTTTTTTTCCTGAGGAGAATAGTGCTGTAGTGGACCAAGACACATCACGCAGTCTGCAGCCAGCTGCACAGGATGAAAATTGTGATGTAGCTGCTGACCCCCAGACGACCCTCGGTGTCAATGATGCGGATGACAGCCTCTGTAGCTTTGAAATCAATGAAATCTTTGCCAGTTTTCCAGAACTTCATGAAGACTTCCCGGAAGGAGGAGCTGGATTAGGGCAAACTCTAAAGGATGAAGTAAGGCAACAAAATGAAGGAGTTCAGGCTGCCCTCAGAGACCCGTGTGCATCCCCTGGAGCACACCGTGAGGAAAAGCTGGTTTATGAGGCAGGTGGCTTTTCAGAATTGAATACGAAGTATGCTGCAGAAGAGGAGAGGGTACGTGAGGCCTCTGACCTAAGCATGCTGACACAGGTGAGAGGAGATGCTGGGAGAAGGATGAGTAGTCTGTCCCAAAACGAGCAGCACATTATTAGCCAATGTGTCCTTAATGTAAAGATTGTTCAAAGTATGTTGCAGCAGACAGTGGATTCTCTGTGCAGAACAGGGGAGAAACTGGGCAGATTAGAGGCCACTGAAAAGCGAAAGAAGCTGCTCCAGGAAGTCGGAACGAATCAGCTTTCTAAACAAATGGAAGAAAGGCACTGGAAGAGATCTGATGATACTTCCCAAAATACCAATAACCCTTTTTGTGGTGTTAATACTTTATGGAAGGCTAGAGGTCCACCATCGAGTGACTATATCCCACCACCAGTAACGTGTATGGCACAGCGAGCGTTGAGTGAAGACGGTTTCCAGGCTGTTTCAAAGACAGCAAAGAAACTGGAGGCAGTTCCAAATGCAAAGTGGAAGGGCTTTCATGAGATGACTAAGAGTAAAAATGAAAACAACCACCGTGATCTCAGCTTCAGTGTGGTGAAAAGCCTGGATGATGACAAGAGCCTAGACCATGAGGTAAAGCATTGAGCACGGTGACTTTGGGTGTTGGTATTGACCTGGTGTTCTTTAGCAGTTAAAGAGATGCAGTTATGGGAGGTGTCCAAGAGGAGAGATGTCTTATAAAATATGTGTGCGTAACATACGCATTTATATATAAAGAAATGAAAATCATCAGTGCAGCAGTGCAATGGTATTGGTTCTTCTTTCTCCCAACCAAGCACAATACAAGAGCAGTGACTCAGGAATAAAATCCTTTACTAAAATGGGAGATGGGGCTATGAGGGAAAAAGGCAGGTGGAGAAAGATTCTGATATGTATAATTATTTATTAAGCTGTCATTAGTAAGGCTTCTAGATAATTTTCATAGAATCATTCAGGTTGGAAAGGACCCTTGGGGACATTGAGTCCAACCATTAACTCTACAAAGTTCACCCCTAAACCATTTCCCCCAACACCCCATCTAAACGACCCTTAAACACCTCCAGGGATGGGGACTCAACCACCTGCCCTCCAGGGCAGCCTGTTGCAATGTCTGACTACTCTTTCAGTGAAAAAAATGTTTCCTAATGTCCAGTCTAACCCTCCCTGTTGCAGTTTGAAGCCGTTCCCTCTTGTTCTATCACTAATCACCCTTGAGAAGAGACCAGCACCAACCTCTCTACACCGTCCTTTCAGGTAGTTGCAGAGAGCGAGGAGGTCTTCCCTCCACCTCCTCTTCTTCAAACTCAACAGCCCCAGCTCCTCTGCAGTCGCTCTTCATAAGATCTATTCTCCAGACCCTTCACCAGCTCCGTTGGCCTCCTTTGCACTCGCTCCAGCCCCTCGAGATCTCTCTTGTATTGAGGTGTCCAAATCTGTACGCAGTACTCAAGGTGTGGCCTCACCAGTGCTGACTACAGGGGGGACAATCTCATCCCTGCTCCTGCTGGTGCCACTGTTGCTACCACCAGCCAGGATGCCCTTGGCTTTCTGGGCCGCCTGGGCCCGCTGCTGGCTCACCTTCAGCCACTTGTCGATTAGAACCCCCAGGTCTCTTTCTGCCAGACAGCTTGCCAGCCACACTGCCCCAAGTTTCATTATTAAATATAAGTAGTTGACATGCTTAGCCCAAAGAAAGAAAGAAGTTCGTGTACGTATCTGCTGTAGGAGTCATTTAGGTCCACTTGTTCCCCTGGGAACTACATGCTATGGTAACCTGCCTGCATACGTCAGAACTCCAGGGCAGAGTGTTTACCAGGCTAAGGCTGGAGTTGTCATCCTTTCTCATGAGCCGTGCTACTAAACTATAACCTGGGGAATAAAGTTTGCACAGTCCAGGTCCTAGTATGTATCTCAGAGACAGCTCAGCTAGTAATTACCAGAATGCCCAATGTGTGCTGAATCATGGCTTGTTGGACTCATTTCAGCATTTACTCCCACGTGTGTCTGTAAGATGCAAAAAAGAGTTGAACTTGCAGTGTCAGGGACGAGATGATTCACATTCTGCAGCAAGTGGAAGTGAAGAAGAAAGGTGGTGAGTTTCAATTGTATTCTCAGAAGAGTGAATTCTAGCAGATTCATCTTGGTGCAGACGTGTCCAGGATCACGGATGGCGTTAAGTGTTTTTTCAGTGAGCCGAAAGCCATCTGTCCGATTAGGACCCTCCTGTGAGTCACTGTCAGCTGCAGAGCGCACGGGGTACCTGCTGACTCTGTGATGGAGGTCAGTGGTCCAGAACTCGTAACAGTGCCCGAGGAGCAATCTGCTAAGCTGCTAGTGAGGGTGATTCTCCTCCCTCTGCAGAGGCTCATTCAGTTCTTGGTAGAAATACTTTGGCTTTCGGAGGTGTAGGCCTGGGACCTGTGTGAGGGGCTGTGGGAGTAAGGCAGTCTGGCTAAACCCAGAGACAACAGAGTGTGTGCTACTTCCTTGTGTTTGCTGTGCTTTTTATGTCATCCCTCTGCATTTGTAAGTGTGGCTGGAAAGTAGTGTTAGACGGACCTGGTGAAACTTGTGCGTATTAAGGCATCTTCTTAGTTGGAGAGATGGGGACAGGCTCCTCATTCAGTGTTTGGGTTAAATCTGGCAGGAAAACTGTTGCAGTTTTTAGGTTGATTCATGACCCAGTTGGATCGATAAGGACCCGTTGGTAAAGGACATACTTGGTTAGAACACAAATCTGCCAGATGCTGATGTGTGGTTACCTGGTCAAGTGAGCGGACTCCAGATCGGAACGGGGCTGGTGGCAGGATTGTCGTCACCTGAGCCTGAAGTTCTGAGTATCTTCAGTTGTCCAGCAGTCACCTTCCTGACATGAATAAAACACACCTACACAACGCTCTCTGTCTGTTAGTGTTTATATAGATGCATCATCTGAAAGCAGGTGACAGCTTTTGTAATCTAAATTTTAATGTACAAATCGTCTGGTTAATTTATAACAGACCTAAATAACTGTCTGTGCTTTCTAAGCTTCTGACAGCTCAATCTGCTAGTTCTTCTGGATTCTCAGAACATGTGTGCTCTCAGCCTTTTAATTAACATTAAAACAACTTCTAGTCTTTTACTGATGGGGGAATACTTGACACTAGTGCATTAACAGTCTGATGCGTTTGTTAATGACTTGTTATAGGTGCTATCCAAAACCAAGATCTGAAGTTTACAGTGCAAAAATAACTGAGAAGCGAAGGATGATGCAGTCGGAATGGAGGAGTAAGTAAATCAGTGTTAACTTGGCATTAATGTTAGCAAGTCTTGCTGCAGTGCATTAAAACTTCACACATTTTGTTACTTAAGAAAGGTCTGTGTGCCTTAATTGCTGAAGCTCCGATCGGCTGTTCTTGGACGAAAACCAAATGAGTAGGATCCGGTGTCTTGCACATTCAGAGCATAAAATAATCACAACCACCACATTAAGATGGTTTCGTTATAAAGTTCAAGCAATTTCTGCCCGTTTGGGAGAGTATAAGGGAGGAATGGCAATGGATTTAGAAAGGGTAATATAGCAATGCCCAGTGGATGGCAGTGCAGGCACGGATAACAGCGAACGCAAACTAAGAAAGAACGTTAATGTAAATATTTGTCCATATCAATTTATGCAGGTTTTAAGCTTTCCTTAAAATGGAACGAAGGGTTTAGCTCTTTAACATAAAGGGATTTACAGGCTACAGCTTCACCATTTCAAAGTCTGCAGACAGAGTGAAACCCAGGGAAGGCTTTGAAGGTCCAGATTCTGCTGAGTAAACTGGCAATTTTGTTCTTTTTCTGTAGCTGAGGTAAAGCAAATTGCCAGAAGGGTGGCCTCAGGACAACTAGAACTCGGCTGTCCGTATCCAGCCATTGAATGTACATCTGAAAGTGAAGCAGAGAGTATAAAGGAAGCCTTTCAACATGTCACAACTAGAGTCCAAAAAAGTCAAGATGGACAATATGGATGGTGGAGGGATGAAAATGGTGAACTTTGGGATCTAGGCAGTGAGGATAGATCTGAATGTGAGGAGAGCGATCTGGAGTCAGTATTCAGAAGTTCTGGAGGTAAGGTTGAATGAGAAAAAGATTCTTCTCTTTTTGTGTCTCTCCCATCTCCCAGGAGATTTCAGCTTCTGTGATTTTGTTGCAATAATATTCAATTTTATCTTCCAGAATCTTGCCTCCAGAGCAGGTCAGTCACTTAGTCACTGGTGAACATTAATAACAGACTGAATATTGCATGCTAATAGGTGGAGGTACTGTCCAGTGAGCTTGGAAGACCCTTCATCATTGATTACCATGAATCAGCATGGGAAACCTAAAGCTTTCAAACCCACGAGTGTGCTTTCACACTTCACTTCTTTCAGTTGGAGCACAGAGATGCTTTTTCTGTAGCAGCATAGTGGGTGGTGCTTTTGTAATATGGATAAAGGAGCAAGGAAAGCTTCATATGCCTAGATTAACGATGTGAGCGTTTAAATATCGTTATTTCTCCATGTTCCTGACAGACAATGAACTCTCGCTGATATTCCATCAGTGGTTTAGATCACTCACTTTATCTTATTTTTCACCTAATGATTTTGTTCCATTCTGACGTCCTAGGGAGAAGTTGCCCATCACCATCAAGAGATGAACAAGCAGAGTCTGGAGTAGCCATTCATACGAATTCAGTCCTTCCTCAACAAGCTGAGAATGTCTCTAGAGTATGTATCCAAGAAACCTAGTTGCAGCAGTTATCTGTCAAATGGTTTAGCCTGGTGTCTCCATGTTCCACATTGAACTACCAAGACCGTTGATCTTTTCAGTTGTAATCTGACTAACAATCCCCCCTCTTTCCTCCTTCTTTTTTTTTAATGTTTATTCTTTAAATGATGAAGGTAGTGTAAGCAGCAGGAGGTAGGTTAAAAATCAGAGTGATCAAATTAAATATAATTTCAATTTGATGCAGTGTTGTTTAACATTATTGACTAAAATGTATATTCTTTAATAGAGAGTGGAGAAAGCATCTCAGATGGTGTCGTCTTTCACAGGGATATTCAAGGGAATTATGTTCCCTTAATTCATCTCGTGATGTGTCTGAAGAATTCTTCAGTCCTGATCCTGAACATTCCTTTCATCCTGCTACTCAGGGAAGTTCAGAACTAGAAATAAAAATAACAGAAAAGACAGGAGGGAAGACTGTGTCAAGAACTGTGGATGTAAGTTACACAACATGTCGCCTCATTATGTTCCCAGTTGATTTGAAGAGCTGTAGAAAATGGGAGAATTACAGGTTTTATTCTTTTGACCCCCCCAAAAAAACCCCACACTACACAAGCCAACAAAAATACCCCCACAGACACCCAGACTTCCGAAACACCAGGGCCTTGCTTCCTTCATTTGTTTACTAGGAAATCACATAAACTGTGGCTGAGAAAAGTTTTAGGCAGTTGATAATCTTAGCCTTTCTTTCAGAGCTCTATCATAGTACTTAGTAGTCTTAAAACGATCCTCATTCATTTACTGAAGATTCAAAACTACTGTTTGAACTAATAAATGCCATCCACGCTGTTGGCTGATAGGATCTGGAGAAGTCTGTCTCACCGTTCTGATTATTGTGAATGTCATCCTGTGAGTTGTCCTACCCTTCCCAGCTTGCCTGTGGGAAATTGAATTTGCTTCCTTTCCCCCCTCCCTTCAGACCACAGATGCTGAAGGCAAATTAGAAGATGCTTGTGGAGGATCTTTACAGAAACAGTTACCTGAAGATGCAGGATCAGGTACCCAGGTTTCAGGTAAATGTGCTCTTTCTTTTGAAGATAATTTTGAGTCAGGAAGAGGGAGTCTTATTTCACTTACATTTTTTTCAGCAGCTCTCGTGTCAGAAAGCTGGAGTTTCACTCTTCAGGATCATTCATTATTTTAGGAGACTTGGGATTTTGGAAGAAGTTTAGGCATTGCGGTCACTGAAATATTGAGTGCAGTGATTATGTACTTGCTGTGTTTCAGTTAAAAAAACCCAACCAAACAAAACTTGTTTGCAACCTTTTTGGTTTTTCCCTAGGGCTACGTTTAATCTTTTTATGCTGCTCACTATGGTGCTGGAAACTGAACTAGAATTGTATTTACACATTAATATTCTTATTGCTGGAAGGATCTTGAGTTTAAAACTGTAGAGCTGACATTGTGCATGTGCAGGATCATCACTGTTTCTCTAGTCTGTTGCCTCTCATAGCTCAGATTTGTAAATGTTGTGATATTCCCCAGTGCTTCAGTAGTTGACTGTCGGGCAGCTGCAGTGTGTTTATGAAAATGCATCTTTAAAACACATTTGTCACTCGACAACAACGAAGGTCACAAGGACTAAAAAATTTAATAAAGTTGCAATTTCCTGTTCAGTGAGTTGTGTCGCTTTCTTTTGTACTTGAAAAACCCAATAACAGGGAACATTTGTTATTTGTATTCAGGAGGAAAAATACTATCCTGCAGCACAGCGGTGCAGAACTCTGGCAGTAACGCACCAGGAGTGAATCAGCTTAGCCATATGCCTGTAGCCAGGTAGACAGACTTTATTTTTGTCATTGCTTCAAATATAAATTAGGTTATAAAGTGTGCTCTCTTTATTAGTTCTGCTTATATATCTAATATTCAGATAAAATGCCAGTAGTGGTTTTTAATGATTATCTATGTATCATTTCCTTGTTAAAAAAAAAAAAGTATTGAGAGGACTTTCACAAGTCTCATGGGATTTTGTCTTTTACAGTGTTCAGCTTTGATGGTGGTTTTGAGGTGGTGGGGTTTGAGGCTCTTTTTTGGCTTAATGAGAGAGCCAAAATGGGAAACCCAAGTCATGTCTATGTTAGAATTCCTTTTACACTGATAAACTACAATCTTAAACAGAGCAAAGAAAATTCAAATTAAGGCTTCAGTCATCTGTTTTAATTTTGTTACGCTTTGGTTTTGGAGCTCAAGTGGCATGAAGCTCCTGCCTTGTCCCCTCCTGTGGGAGCAACGCGGTGCGAGCGTGCTCGCTGTACCTTGCCTGCAGATACCATCAGCCCACGCTTGGAGACTTGCGGTCTCATCTATCAAACACGAGGTGCTTACATCCAGTATTTTTGTAAATTATATCCTCTGGTAGTACACAGAGATGTTGGCCAGAATCGCCACCTCATGCTGCAAGAAGTACTTCCAGCTAAGAGTGTAAAAGAGGACAAAGTGCTGTCGTGACGGTTGTTGAGCAGTGGTTGTCAGGCTCCCTGTGGCTTTTCTTGGCTTCCTCCAGAGTCCTCGGCCTCTTGCTTCCTCAGCGTGGCAGCGGGAGCTGATTTTACTGTGTGCCAGCGTTGTACTCCCCTCCGCTGGGGGAACCGAGGGGCCAGTGTCAGAGCTAGGCAGCAAGTGTGGAAGTACGTGGCCGTGAGGTGAAAGGAAATGGTTTTCCTCACTCCCTTGGCTTGGGAATGGAGCTTCTGCCATCAGGACCGGGAGGGCTGTTGCTCTCGGGCTGTCTGTGTGATCCCCTGGGAATGCCTCCTTGACCTGGCTTAGGGTTGTTGCCGTTTGAGAGAAGAGCTTACAGCGCAAACCAGTCAAAGGTGTAGTGACGGACATTCACAGATTTTCATTTAACTTTCACTTTTGTTTTGAAACTGCGTATCTTAATTTTAAGTTTTCTCCTTATCAGATGAAAATCCAAAATGCGCTTAAAATGACGTTTCTCTTAGCACTGTTCATCTTTTTAAGCAGTAAGTTTTTTATGAGCTGCAGTCTACATCAGAGAGAAAGTAGTCCTTTAAACTTTTTCAGAGAGAGGAGACTAAATACATTTATTTTCGTAATTCTCAGAGAAGATCATTGAATACGACCTTTCTTCCCTCATTCCAGTGTTGAAGTGGCCCAAGAAGTGATACTGTGGGAGCTACAGGAAGAATGCAAAGAAAAAGATGTGTAAGAGCCACAGGTCATTTATATGAAAGCTTTAGCGACGTGGTCATTATCATTGTAGAAATTTTGTGTTGATTTCGAACAGGCAGATGAGACAGACCACAGCTGAGAGAGAGAAAATTATCTAAAGTATTGAAATGGTATTTTCTTGGGATAAGATTGGTGTAAAACAACTACCACATACAGTTGTCCTTAGTTTGAAATATGTTCATATTCCTGAGTAATTAATTAGTGTTAATCTGGGTGTGCATCAGTTTATCCAAGTAATTCTTCTAAAGGCTCCTAAAACCTACATTTAGTCTTAATTAATGGATCATTAATTTTTGTTAAACCTTATTAACGTTTTTTGTTAAGCTTGACTTTGGAGAGAGTTTTCTACCTCCTGGATCACATTTGAAATTCTTGCCCTTTCTGGAGGCAGTTTCCTGATCTGGCATTTATAGGAGAATTACTGAAACTAAGAAATCCTATAAAGGAAGCGTAAGCAAATAATAAACGTTTTCTGTCTGCTAGATGATTGAAGATGGTGATCTTTAGCATTCCAAGAATTCTGTGGGAAATTTTCAAAGGGAATGTCTCTCTTCTGGAAAACTAGATAAGACTGTACAAAATAAAAACTTAAAAAAACCTGAAAATAGCAGAAATTAGTGATTCTCAGGTGTAAGAAGTGGCTTTTCCAACTGTCAGACCATCTTTCAATACTTCAGATCAGTGACAGATATTCAAGATTTGTCGAGTATCCCCTGCGAGCAAGAGAACTTCTACAGGGGAATGGATTGTAAAACACCCGGAGCGGGTCACGCCCCAACGCGTGTCAGCACTCCGCGCAGCCCAGGTAACGCGCTGAATCGCTTCACCTTTCCAGCTAGGACTTGCTAAAGTAAAAATCATCGATGTGAATCGTGGAAACTCCTCGTTCACGTAGTACCAATGCAGAAATGTCAGGCTTGGAATAAGGAGCCACAAGAAATGCTGTACCCGTAGTTTGAAATCTCATTGTTTTGGTCAAAAGAAGTCTCTAACATAGAACTGCAGGAGAATTTGTCGGGGCATGGTTAAAAAAGCCGCTGTCTGAAAGGTCTGAAGGATAATTACTCGGTAGGTAATGGCAGCTTTCATAAATTGGAAATGGCTTCTGACAAAATTGGAGCGATAAATGTAGGTGTTCACGTTTTAAGGATGGGCAATGTGATAAGCACACGATGTGTTTTGAGTGGTGATAGAGTGATCTCAATGTTTGTTGGACTTTAGTGTTGTTTGAGAGCAGTGAATTATCGTTTGCGTTATGCTTTTATTAATGTGGTGTAATACAGCAGTCAGAATTTCTCAGTTGACAGAGTTTTGTGTAAATAATGCCTGGGGTGGAACTCCTAGCTCCAATCAGTTTGGGTTTCTGTTTAGCAATAGACAATAATTCCTTAGAGCTTCCTGTGCTAGTGCCTGTTCAAGTACAAGAAACCGTTTTCTGCTTCGGTTGAAATGTCACCAGGGTCAAGAAATTAAAATACAATGTTTGAGCTTTGCTGTCATTTTTTTCTTTTTTTAATATGAGAAGAAAAAAATCCCATAGCCTTTGAGAAATACAAACGCTGCCCTGAAGTAGCTTCCGATTCTTCGTTTTGCGGTTCTCAAGAGCTCTCCTCTGCAGTGTCCAGGACATTCACCACAGCCTGTGAAGAGGAAAGGAGCACTGAAATTCCCTTGGCTGCTCCAGGAGTTTGCTCATCTGAGTGGAATGAGCCTGTAAGTCTAGAAAATTTACCTTGCGTCAGCCTTCCTTTAAAAATATTTTTTTAAGTAGCTCTTAAATGCAAGCTGAGAGGTTTGGGAATAGGTCTTTGAGAGTATTTTGCAGTTCTGAATCTGCAGTTCTGCTCATACAAAGAGGTGGCTTCCCTTCCCACCCAGTTGTGTGTAAGTGTTGACCCCCATCAAAGTGGCCTGGCTCGCTCGCTGTCCCTTCCCTGGCTGTAAAGAATTGCATTTTCCCAGCGTTGGATCTGGTAATCTTAGAACATCAAAGTGGGAAGTATCTGCGAAATGGTTGGGCAGAAAAGGTGAGGTTTTACTGGGCGGAGGGAGGGTTAATTAGCAGGCTGCTTATCTGAACCACTCCGACCTGACACAGGGTTTGTGAGCTGTAGGCTTCTGGCGATGTGGGAGTGGGGAATAAACGTAAATGAAAATAAATACACCTGCATTTGGCTTCAGGTGTGTAAGTTTTCCTGTGAAACTGAAGAATTCTCAAAACTTGGAGGGGGAAGGTAAGGAGTCTCCTTCTCTGGAGACCTTCAGAACCCGCCTGGACACGTTCCTCTGTGACCTATTGTAGGTGACCCTGCTCTGGCAGGGGTTGGACTAGATGATCTCTAGAGGTCCCTTCCAACCCCCAACATTCTGTGATTCTGTGAGTGATTCCTTGGGGAAAAAAAGCTGATGTGGAAGCTTCCATCTAGTAGTTTGGAAGCAAGTGGATGTTCAGAAAGCCCTTGTACTGGGGATGAAGTTTGTCTTTTTTATTCGCGGATGTGGCATAACGTTATCAACTTTGTTGTGTCAAAAAATTCTCCCTCTTAGGAACTGACAATTTCCAAGGTGACTGTAGTGATTTCCAGTAATCTTTTTGGAACCAAAGGTGTTGTGGAGCTGCAGGATTATCTTAACTGTCTTTTCAGGCCATTAGATATAAAATAGTTGCCTTTATGCCTTTCTTACGCTTATTCATTGGTGGCATTGTCATTTAAAGATTAAATTAGAGTTTGTTCAACCAGAACTGTAGCGACTGCATTCTTTGTCATCGGGTTAGGTCTGTGTCTTGCTGCTTGTGTAGCAGACAGTTGGAATTCATTAAGCCCATTAACACTGCAGTGCTGCCTCCACTGGCTCTGCGGAGAGATTTGATCGTGCTGCTTTCTTGTCTAAAATCTCATGCATGAAGCACCTGGTTTTTGTTTTGAGGACAGTGAGGACTTGCATAGGATTACAAATTCTTAATTTTAGGGGGCTCCTTTGGTGAAATAGGCATGCCTGGCTTTAATAATTAAAAAAAATCAAAGCAGAGAATGGGAACTTAAGAGACGTCGGCACTGTCCTGTCAGAGAATTCCCACTCAGTTGTCCCTACTTGACTTGAAATGGATAAAGGTTCCATAGCTGAGGGTATCATAAGGACACCTGCAAGATGAGTGCACAGCAGCCCGCGCAAAATTTTTGACATGTTTGAAGCAGTCCTTCAATTTACCTTGTTTCGTTCTCTGTGACCTTACACAGGCTAGGTTGCCAGTAGTTGCTTCATCTTTGAGAAGCGCCGAGAACGCATTGGGTAAGTCTCTTAACCCGGCCCAAATAGACTGATCAATAAATGGAGAAAGATACCTGAAATTTTGCAGTTGTACTTCTCTTACCACGGCTTGTTTGCTTTTTCCCCCCCTCCTGGGCATCTCTTTTAGAGGGATGAACAGCTTTGCACACGACTGTGTATTTCTAGTGGCACTTAGGATCTAGATTTTGTGCTTGGACCTGCAGACAGAACTCTGATCTCTAATCAACTTGTGCTTGAAGTGTAAATATTATTGGCCTAAAATTTGGCCTGGAGGATTGAGAACTGAATGTGCAAATCTAGTTGTAAATGATTTCTCCATTATGGAATTATTTAAGGGTATTTGATAAAATGTGAAGGAGCCAGGCTCGTGCAGGTTGATAAATGAGAGGTGTCAGCAAGATGCTGTCATAATGTAAGCCTATATCACAGTTATTAGGGGTTAATCACTGCTGATTAACGAGATTTTCTTTTTTCTTTTACTTTTTCTATCTCAGCACTCTCACAGGCGTCTAACCACTTCATTGACGAGCTGCCTCCACCAGCCCAAGAGCTGCTGGATGAAATTGGTAAGAGGCACTTCACCCAAAATGGTACGAGGCTTGCCAGCTGTCTTCAATCAGGATTTCTCCCAAGTCACTCACTACTAAAATACACAAGAGCTTCCGAATTAGTTGCAGTCAGGTCGATGATTAGGAAGTTAGGCATCAACAGCTTAATTAACTGGCAGTTATTTAAGTTAGTCCTTGAAGTTTCTGCATTTCACGTAATAGTTGTTGCTGCTGACAGCCGCCACCTTCTTGAGTGCAAATATAATTTAACAGTGAGAGGAATTTTGTGTAGACTGAATTTTTCAGAGGTGTCCTGGAGCAATGCATGCTCTCCGTTAAAACGAACGCAGCTGCATCCCTCAGGTATTTTTGCAGAGCTTAGCCTTGGTGATTTATGCTTCTTTTTTTAAAATCATGTGCATCTTCAGACAGAACATGATGTAAAAATTCTGCCCTGTTTTCACTGATGTGTATTACAGAAGAATTTGCTTTGGTTATTCAGCTATAAACTCTAAACTAGCAGCAAATATTGGGATAATTAAGTGTTAACAGGTCCTGTGTGCTCTTGGAAGTGAGGCACTGAGACACATTCTGGTCTTTTTATTTCCTCATTCATCAAAACAAGGACACCTGGAGACTGGCATCAAGCGAATAAATGATGGTCAGAGACAATTTGTAGGATTAATGTATGAACTAATTATAGATCATGTAAAGGTTTTCATCAAGGTTTGGCTGAATAAAGTCATACAGTACTTTTAGATTGTATTGAGGCAATTTACAAAGAGTATCTAAATCAATAAGGAAATATGTTGTTTTTAACAGAATATTTAAAGCGGCAAGATCCCATTACTCAAGACTTTAAGGAGAAGGGTTTGCCTGACTGCAGAGTGCAAATAAATGGTTAGTGGATAATAGCCCTAACGTCGAGATGACAAATAGAAAATTACTTTTGCCTTGCTTGAAAATTACTTTGAATGCTTGTCACTGTGTGTTCAGCTGTACGATAAACTCCAATTTGTAGCTTTTTTGGTATTAGTGGTTCGGCAGAAGCTGGAGAGGATTCTCCCTTTCTTGGCAAGGTTGTACGCTGTGTTTTCGCAAGTAGTGCCCCCTCCTCCAGCGTTGCCTCTCTTGCTCTGTGTATTTACTCTCTGAAGCTTGTGGAGCTCTGGTGTGAAAGGCCTGAATGTCTGAACTATCAGAATTAATCTGCTTTTATTGTGCCACTGTAACGTTTGCCGCGCGCAAATGGCGAAACTCACGAGAGTGGGGATGGGGGGCAAGTGAGGTTTCCCTTCCAGGAGGGTGGTTCCGTCGGGAAAGCGGCCGGTGAAGACCAACTGCTGCTGTTTCTTGTTCCCCACGAGAAATAATGACTCTGATCTTTAGGGTAAGAAAATAGCATCCGCTGGGGTAGCGGGTGTTGTATTTGCTGCTCTGTTACACAGCTGCCACGGACAGCAGCAGTGAAGCTTTGTGCTTCTGGAACTACAAATAGTATTAAGTGAGAATAATTTTTAGATGAGCAGCAAGTAATGTTAGAGGAGCAGAAAACCTAAATCTTTATAGGCTCTGCAGTTGTTTCCAATGAGTCAGAAAGTGAAGAGCATTTATTTTTTTTTTCCTGGTTTTAAAAAAAAAGAAGAGGCAGAACATGAGTTAGTCTGTAAAAAAGCTAAATAGCGTAGTCGCTTCAGAACGATACTGGCACTTGTTTGTGTTATCCTACAGCTTTGTTAGATTTTTTTTTTTTCCCCCGAAGGGTAGAAGCTGCTGTGACTTTATTTGTGGGAATATCTTGTTTTTAGGTGGTGAGGAACGCTGCAGCCCTTATTGCTTGCTGTTCAATCGCCGTGGTTTTGTTGTATTTGCATAAAGTACAGCTATTTCAGACTCCATTTTTGTGACAGCCTACTGCTTCCTGCTTATCATAGCTTAGCAGAAGGTGGCTGAATATATTCACATGCTGTAGGGAACAGAACTTACCGAGATAAGTCTTGGGCGGGGGGTATCGTTGGATTTCGCTAAGTAGGATAACAAAGCAAACATCCACAGGTTTTCTTTTGATTTTTCTCCCGTATCTAGGATTGTAAGGGGACAGATTAAAGATTAATTTCCACATGCATTTTTCATTTTAGTGTGAAGCAAAATGTTCGATCCTGCGACTCTAAAAATGTGTTACAGTAAAATATTTATCTAGGTCTTGCTACTGGCCACCTTTGACTGTAGATAATGTGAATTTGCTTAACTGGTAGAAAATCGGATGGCTGAGGAAAGAGTAATTCAAAAGTGGGTAACTGGAAGTTTCCCAAGAGCAGTAAATAAAAACGCATTTTAATTTCTTTATTATCTTCCTTCATACCTTTGATAGTAAAATTTTTCTGTTATATCAATAGTTCCTGATCAAATTATAATGGAAGACAGAGAATCAACAGAAGAATCTGAGAGAAATGAGAAGAGCAATCGTAGTTCATGGACAAAGGAGTCGTTTAATCTAGCAGAGGAAACAGAAAGGTATGACAAAAGGGTGATAAGGCATGTTTGGCTTCGAGTTACAAAGATCTAGAATAATGAATCCAGTATATTTCAAGAAGATTGAATGCTTACAACTTTTTTAAGAACCCTGATAAATTTGACTGTTAAAATGTGTAGTATCAAACTTGCCAGCATCCATTTAAAATCTTTTATTCAACAGGGCTCACTCCACTCTTGATGATGTTTTAGAGAGAATGCTCCCTGCAATTCCTGGAGAAGAGGAGATTGGAGAACAACCTCAGGGACACACTCTCGGGTTAGCTGATAACTGATACTTTGTTCATAAGCTTATTTTGTTTGTATTCTGTGTACAGACCTGCGCAGGACTCTCCAGAAAACAGGCTGTCACTCCTTAGAGAGGAGCGTGTCGGAGAACTTGCCTGGAGACATCCCTCTGAACTCTCCATTCTAAATTGACAGGGAAGAGAATGTTTTGGTAATATAGTTTCCTGTAGGTAGAAAGCAAATACTTCAGTGGGTTTGGAAGGCAATGTGCAGTCTGCACAGAAATCAGAGATAATTTGACAGAATGGTGAGTTTTTTTAAGAGAGCAGAATCATGAGAGCTCTTTAGACAAGACTTTGGAGTTTGGGAAATGGGTTGTATTGTTACAGCAGGTTGGGAGGAAGTGAAGCGAACGGCAGAAGTCATCTGTACATCACTGTAATGAAAAGAGGCTTCTGTCTGCGCGCTCTATATTCATCCTGTCTAACAGAAAATACAAAAAATCGGGATGATACACAAAACTCTGTCATTCAAGGGCTGCGAGCCTGCAAGATCCAGAAGATGTTGGAAGGAAGAAGAGAGTAGAGGAAGGCGGAGCCGAGGCCTGAAGCAGAGCGACAGAGAGCTGTGCAGGGAGCGCAGAAGGTCTCGTTTGTCTGTAAGGTGGCTGGATGCTGTGCTGGGCAGTATCGCGTGTACATCCTTAGCACTGAGTTTGTGAAGCTTTTCTTGATTTCCCCCATCTGGGTACCATTTGTACCCCATGCTTTTAAAGGAGAGGAAGCTGCTCCAGACTTCAACTCTCCAGAGACACTCAAACTTTCTAATTTGGGTTGGCAGTTGGGACTTGACAGCGTTACGGGCTGTTTGCTGGAGGTGCAGAGTGTCTCTCGCAGGGAGAGCACGGTTTCCTTTGCTGACTCGAAAGCGCTGGGAGGCAGCTGATAAAACTGTGTCTGTGTCCTGCTGAGCGCTCACCTTCCCCGGCTCAGGCACCGAAATGCTTCCCGCTGTGAGGTCTTTGGTTACTACCAGTATGGTTTGGCATGTACCTGTGATGTGTGTGCTGATGCCCTTAAGCATCTGGTTTGGTCCCGTTGCCCCTGGATTTCATTTAATAAAAACTAGAAGTAGGGAAGACAACAGAAAATTAAAGTGTTTCCGCTGTTCTTTAAGTCCAAATCTCCATTAGGAACTGCCAGAGGTGGCTGGTGTTCTACAGCTGAAATACAAGGTTGCCATTTTCCACATTTCTCAGTTCAAGATGCTTCTTACTCCAGGGAGGGGGCTGACGTACTTGCGTTAAGTCAGAATGCATTAGTGCTGTGCAAAAAATAGGAAAGAGCTGGCGTTTTGTCTGGAAAGAAAAAGGCAATAGCCTTTCATTTTCAGAGAGAACTTGTGATTTTTCAGTGTGTAGCACAAGATGACCTAAAGGAGGCTGATCTGTGTTGGGGGCGTTTACCACGACTACAGCCGTCAGCCCTACAACACGTTTTGCTTTCCAGTTGGGCACCCAAAGTTTGAGACGTCCCAAATCGCTTTTGGAAATGGTGGTGGTAATTTTTAAACTGAGAGATCTGGAGGTAACATCAGTGTGCTTTTTATTTGCATACCATTAGCATATAATACTCTTATTTTCTGTCACACTTGTAGAAGAACTGAGCTGGTAAGAACTGGGCTTCAGGTGTGGAGAACAGGGTGATTTTGGATCACAAAGAGGGTCCTGCGTAACGCACCGAACAGCAGCCGGGCTGAGCCTGGTTTCTGATTTCAAGTGCAAATTCCTGGGCCCAGCAGAGAGGTCCGTAGGGCTGGGCTCAGTGTGCTGCTGTGTGCGCACAGCGCCAGAGCTTTCTTTGAAGTGTGGGGCTGTGGGTATTCTTGTTTCTGAGCTGATTTTACGTGTTTTTTTAGACACGCATTTTGAAGATCAGAAATCCCGCTTACAGCAGCAGCTGTTCAGGTGAGCCTCTCTGCAACTTCTTCTGGGCTTTTGGTAGAAATTAGTGTGTATTCCCTGGCTGCATGAGATGTATTTGCATTTTCTGTGCTGAGGCAGCAGAAGCAGCAACATGAAATCCCATTCCCTGTAGCTGAATACGTTCCATTGTACCTGGATACAAAAATAAAAAGCAAACAAACATGTAACTTGTATTTTTTTAAAAAAAAATTGTTTTGGATCAGAGCTCTCCTGCATAATTAAAATGGATGATTAATAAGTTCTACTATGTCCTCCTTGTACAGTAGCACACAGCCTGAGAACTGCGACCCTTTTTGGCCACGGAAACAGACGAAAGCTCGGATTCCCTTTAACTGCAGCAGCAAGTCGAGAAGAAAACCTCATGCTCTAGGCTGCCATGTAGTTCGTGCTGGGTTTACGCCATCGTTGCGTGTAGAGGCAGCGTCATTAATTTTGCAGAACTGAACAGTTTTCTGAATGTGACATCCTTACGAAGCTGCCTGCGTGGTGGAGTTTTTTTCCTTAGGTGCGCGCTTTCATCAGCAAAGGCAGTTCTTGCTCGGTTGCGTTACGCAGCTCTCGGTGTCGCAGACGGAGCGATGGTGTCTGTGAACTGCTCTTACTGCTCAGGCACTTCAGTTTCTCCATGCTGGAGCGTGGAGCCCTGTTACAGCCCATGTAGTGTGTGTTTTCTTTCCTTGCTCATTAAATTTAACAAGGTAATTTCTTGTTTTCTCTTTTCTTAGTGCTTTTGTGATCTAGTGTTGAACTGATTTGACTGATTAAGGGGATTAATTGCTGTGCAAAAAGCTAATGAGAAAAAAAGCACTGTTCTCCAGAGATTGCAAGTGCAGTGATACATTCCCTGGCAAAAATATGAAAAAATCTGGTCAGTGCTATGAAGATACCTGTTGTTAATTAAACCACACTTTTGATTGGCCTCATACCGCCCCCCCAAAAAAAGGTCCCTGGATAGGTTTGAGTTTTGGATCAGAATTTTGATGGGAGCAGCAACTTCATACTTTTCTTGTGATAAATACTGTTCGGGTGCAGGAGGCTTGAGGATTGTCCTCGTCCCTTTTTAACAGCCTCTGGGATTTTACCTGCCCCTGCGCACTTGGGTGTACCAGATGTTGCTTTTTTTGTTCCTGCAGGGAAATGCTGCCTTTCTGTAACTTAGTTACTTTGGTTTAACAATACTAATAAAAGTTGCCAACGTTGTTGTGCTGCCATGTGGATCTCTTTCTTGCTTGGGAAGTTCTTTGTTGGTTTTGGTTTTTTTAACTTATTAATGATGTTTCCCATCGTCACACCGTGTATGCAACGAGGTACCGAAGGAGCTACTCCAGGGAAGATGCTGCAGACTGACAGACGTGGGGGAGCTTTCTTCAGAAGAGATCAAGGAAAAATAAAAAACCTTTCATCCTTTTAGTCCTGTCCTGGTAGCACTAGAGCTAGAAGCGCCAGCAGCAAGGAGGCCGTGGTTTGCGGTCTGCACCCCGGGCTGATGGCAGTGCCGGTGCACGAGGAACGGGGCTCGCTGTTGTGCGTTACACAGTTCTGCCCAGGCAGAAGTTTAATATTTTCTAAGCCAGGCTCGTATCCGCTGCAGGTGCCTGTTTTTCTCTGCGTGTGAGCGTTTTATTACGCTGCAGCCTGCTGCAAGGAGCAGAGGGTCGTGACAAGACGTGTGCGAAAGTTAAATCGCAAATTCGTTGTGTGATTTTGTCCTTAGTGGTTTGTGCCCCGTAACTGAGAGGTTGCCAGGGTCATTCTCTCTCACTTTGGGCGTGTTTTGTTATGTTTCGTAGACTTGCTCGGTTAAATAAGAGGCAATTAGAGCTTGCAGGACTGCAATGGGGTGGTGGAGTGGAGCAGGCACACAAGGGATTTTACATGCACGTAATTCCGTGTCCCTTGTGCTTTCAGCGTGTGAAACCTCCTCGGCTTCTGGGATTTCTTTTTCCGTGTTATCTGTCACACCAAATGGTGAGCAGCCTGCAAACCATTTCCCTATCTTTTTTTTTAATCTTAATGTGGAGAATTTTTATTTCTGCTGGTAGAAAGCCTTTCAAGCGGTCCCGTAGCCTGTCTGCTCTCCTTATCAAAGGCGGAACGCGGCAGTTAAAAATTTCACTTTTTCATCTGTTTGTACTTTTCCAGATTTAAGTTTAGCATGAATGTAAATCGTCCCGATAACATAAAGCGTGGGCACAAAAGCCGTAATTAACAGGAACGATTAAACAAGGACTGGTGAAAGACAGCAGAGGAGATCAGAGGGGGCCTATCTAATGCTGATTTTCAGCTTCCCAGAGAATGAAAGGCCAATTAATTAAATTAAAACAGAGATACTGAGCTGCTCTAATTCCTCTCTGAGCCACTAGCGCCGTGAGCCGTGAGCTGCGGGGATGGGGACGGGACACCCGTCCAGCTGGAGTGAAGACAAGGAAAAACAAATGTTAATTCTCTCAAGAGCCCTGGCTCAGGAGGAGAGGAGGGAAGCACATTTCTGGGTCATCCCCGTGGACCGTATGTGATAGAAACAAAACCGCGCAGGGGAAAGAGAAGCTCTGAATCTTGTGCCTGTGGAGCAGTCTCGTTTTGAAAGCGATTGAAGTGTTTGGAGTCCAAATTTGAAAGACAATTAGCTGTGAAGGCAGACGGGCTGGCGAGAGTGGTTTTGAAGATGGAGGAGTTTGATAAAGCAGCATCTCGAGGGATTGCTGTGCCGGGTATTTTCCAAACCTAATGCCTAGAAGCCATATCCGTGGGCTCCTAAATTACATAAACTGTGTCGCAGGAGCCCCATGGAGGAGTTTGTCTCTTTTTTTTTTTTTTCCTTTCTCCTTTTATTAGGGGCTTTGTCATTTTCAGCTTTCTGTTGCCAGCTGTGGGGCACTTGTTGCTCTGCTGTGCCTTGTGCTGGGGTTTTTGTGCTTGCTGGCAAATCTGTGGATTTAAGACCTTACTGCCTTAAATATCAATAAAATACATCAATTTTGTCTTGGAGCTACGTTTTTTTCTTGCTATCCTTTATGATGGCACTTGCCACGAGGGCAGAAGTGCCAGGTGGAGTAGCAGGAGGTGAAGCGTTTTCTGTCAAACCTTCCATCAGCTGCTTGAACAGATGCACGCGAACTGGTGGATCTTTATTCATGTTTATTAACACTTTATGATAACAGTTCATTATAAGACTCCGGATTCCCCGAGGCGTGGAAGGGAGGGGTGTTTCCTTAGGAGATGGGACTAAAAGTTCACAATTCACCCCACGATGGGGTGGCTCGTCTCCCTCCAGAAGACAATGTTGTGTTTTTCTGGGAAGCACCATGAGGGCTGCTGGGGACTTCTCCAGCCTTAGGGAGCCACCCAGCTCCTGGCCATGGGGAGCAGCCACGCACTGAGCAAGGCCAGGTGGGACAGGCGGCACCCGAGGCAGGTGCAGGAGGCTCTGGCAGCGGTTAGACCGGGGGAGACGATGTCACCTTGTTCCTCAGCCCCTCTGCGCGGGGGCCGGGGGCAGCCGGGGCAGTTTTTGCCCTGCCCCAGGGCTCGTGGCCGCAGCACAGCGTCTTCAGCAGGCAGCTCTGAAACTGGCAGGGAAAACGCAGCGTTACCCGTCGTAGGAGAAAGCTGGAGCCTGCCTCAAGGTCTGGAGGCAGAGGCTGCGGGGGGGGGGCCTGTTCTATTTTGGGCGAGATCTGTTATCAATTCCCAGCCCAGCTCTTCGCAGACGCTGGCAGTTTATTGACAATAAAACTTTCATTCTGTTTGTTTTGTGTGTTCGATGAGTAGTTTGTGATCTAAAATTAAGTTGCCTGACCCCATAAAACCACAGAAGCAGAAAATGAGCTCTTGTTTGGGCTCGCAGGCTGCTCCCTTTCCATTTTATTCCCCAAAACCTTGCTGCTGTTACAGCAACTCTCAGACCGAGCCTGCGTGTATGCTTCCAGCTAGGATAGATGTTTCCTCCACATTTTATGAGGCCGTTAAGCTGTGGTTTCATCAGCTAATGGCTTTTCTCTCACCTGTTTGTTCATGAAGACGTAGATGATCGGATTGTAGACCGTGGCGGTCTTGGAGAAATAGGAAGGCAGGGATGCAAGAGCCGGCTGGATGGCAACGTCCTTGTTGGGGGCCACCACCAAGGCGAAGGGGGTGTAGGGGAGGCCGCCGGTGAGGGA